CAGTGGTGTCACATCTACATGGTGGCAAAAAGCACACGTATAACGAAGAATCTAATTCTGCTGTCTCACCGAAGCTGATTATCTGCGCAAAATGCCCTGATCAAAAAGTTTGAAAACAATTCTCCTGTCAAAAAATGCTCAAAAGTTTAAATAGCTTAGTATAAATTAATTAGGATAACCTTTATTAAAATACATTCATAAAACGTTTTCTAGATGGTATAAACAGCACAGATAGTCTAACCATGAGTGGCAAGAATAATTCTAAGCTCCTTGATTGACAAGATAAAAATACATACCGATTCATAATCTTTTAATCGCTTCAGAGCCTCAACTAATTCTTTATCCTTTTCCCTAGCATCAGCCTCAGCCAGTTCAGCTGTTCTCTCAGCCTCTTTAGTTTTCTCTTCTAAAATTTGTACCTTTGACTGAATTTTCATATAATGACTCTGTTGAGAAAGGGTTGAAGCACCTACAGAGTGAAAACAAAAATCATGAATTAACTGAATTGCATATTCATTCCTTCAAATAAGTGGTTCCTATATAGAGGCAAGAGAAGTAGAATGCCACATAAAAAAGCTTCCTTAATGTTATAATTCCATACCTGTAAGATGAAAGTTTTATTCTGGTTTTATTAATAAAATTAACTAAAAAAGTAAGTTCAGCAAAATCTTCTTAGCTAAACGGGTATGGATTATAAAAGGCTGCAAAACACTGCTTTACAAAGAATGATGAACTTTGTTTATACCATAGAGAAATAAATTTCTATCTTGTTTTAAACCATTGTTCTATGCTTGATTTTCTGTCGCTTATAGCTAAACTTAATCCTAAACTAAAAAGTTCCTAAGTCGCTACTTGTATTATCTTACAAAATTGTTACTAGACAAAATATTCCTATCATTCTAAAATTTATTGACACAGATCTTCCTCACACTCATCTGTAATGAACATTTAGTAGTGAACACTTACCACTCTATATGGCAAACACTTACATTGGACTTACACTATACACTGGACTAGTACAGGAGATCACACAAGTTTTTAAAAATGAGTCCTGCTCTCTGGAGCTAACAAACTAGCTGTGGAACATGACAAGGCTGAGTTGTCCTCCAGTACCCATTCTCCCTTTCTTCCACATGGCCCTCCATAATAAACACTGTATTTGCCCACCTATCCTTCAGCACGTGCTTTTGTCTCTTGCCCTCTCTTTCTCTATCTTGCTGTTTGGGATAAAGACATGATAATAAAGCTTCATTCTAGATGGGGCAGATGAAGGCAACACCCTGGGCTGCCTAATTCTAGGCCATTACACAAGTGAGAAATAAACTATCTTATTTTGCCATTGTCTTCAGATCTCTGCTTGTAATACTTAAACCTAATCCTAACCAATGAAGGAAGAACACCATTAGCCAAAGATACATATCTATGTATCTATAGATAGATACATAGATACTCTGTATCTATCTGTAGATACAGAGTATAGTCTAGTAGACATGCCATCTGTGAGCTTTAAGGATTAAATGACGATGTACGGACCGAAGTGTCATTAGATAAGACCTTTTCCTTATTTGACAGCAAACATCAACCACCACTTTCCTCCTGGTGATTCGAATATGTAAAATCCACACTATTAATCATCCTTTTAAAGCAGTTTAAACTTCTGCCAAAGTATTCTAACACAAACATAATGCAGAGAGTGGGCTCAATACACGAGTGGATCCTTGATGCCATTCAACAGTTATAGTACACTTCCCAAGTCTTCGTTCTTTCATATGACCATTTTATACTTTCTCTTCCCTTTTCTCTCCTCAAACGTGTGATATATCTTCCCCTACTTTCATTTCAGCTGAGAACCTTGCCTCCTTGTTCACTGAGAAAAAAGCAGCAATCAGTAGAGAACTTCTACAAGCTCTCCCCACTAGGACATCAACCCAGCCACCTGCATCTGTATCTATACACTCCACCTCTTTTCTGCAATTACGGATGAACTCTCTGTATTCTTAGTTAAGGCCAACCTCTTCACTGGTACAGTAGAACCCATCCCACTGCATTCTCTAGGATATTGCTCTGGAAGTTCCCTCCCTCCTCTGCTTCACCAACTCATCAAATGTTTCTTCTTTAATGGAGCTTTCCCATGAACCTAGAATGATAAGTTATTTCTTCTATCTTAAAGAGAAAAATACAGACAGGCATGGTGCCTCACACCTATAATAATAGCACTTGGGAGGCTCAGATAGGAGGATAACTTGAGGCCAGGAGTTTGAGACCAGTCTGGGAAATAGAGC